CGATACCTGGCTCCACAATATACAGACCTACAACTTCTCTAAGGTAAATCATACCTCTACATTAAATCTCTTAGCTGACAACAACCTGTAAATAATACCTTAACATTAAATCTCTTAGCTGACTCCATAATATACATACCAACAACTTCTCTAAGGAAAATCATAACTCCACATTAAATCTTTAAGCTGACTCCATAATATACAGAGCAACAACTTCTCTAAGGTAAACCGTACCTCTATATTAAATCTCTTAGCTGACTCCATAATATACAGACAAAAAACTTCTCTAAGGTAAACCATAGCTCTATATTAAATCTCTTTGCTGATTCCATAATATACAGACAACAACGTCTCTAAGGTAAATCATACCTCTACATTAAATTTCTTAGCTGATTCCATAATATACAGACAACTTCTCTTAGGTAAATCATACCTCTACATTAAATCTCTTAGCTGGCTCCACAATGTACAGACCAACAACTTTTCTAAGGTAAATCATACCTCTACATTAAATCTCTTAGCTGGCTCCACAATGTACAGACCAACAACTTTTCTAAGGTAAATCATACCTCCACATTAAATCTCTTACCTGGCTCCACAATATACAGACCAACAACTTCTCTAAAGTAAATCATACCTCTACATTAAATCTCTTAGCTGGCTCCACAATATACAGACCTACAACTTCTCTAAGGTAAATCATACCTCTACATTAAATCTCTAAGCTGACAACAACTTCTCTAAAGTAATCCATACCTCTACATTAAATCTCTTAGCTGGCTCCACTATATACAGACCAAAAACTTCTCTAAGGTAAACCATACTTCTATATTAAATTTCTTAGCTGGCTCCATAATATACAGAGCAACAACTTCTCTAAAGTAAACCAAACCTCTACAGTAAATCTCTTTGCTCGCTCCATAATATACAGACCAACAACTTCTCTAAAGAAAATCTTACCTCTACATTCAATCTCTTAGCTTGCTCCATAATATATGCAGACCAACAACTTCTCTAAAGTAAACCATACCTCTACATTCAATCTCTTAGCTGGCTCCATAATATACAAACCAACAACTTCTCTAACTTAAACCATACCTCTACATTAAATCTCTGGGCTGGCTTTATAATATACAGACCAACAACTTCTCTAAGGTAAATCATACCTCTACATTAAATCTCTTAGCTGGCTCCATAATATACAGACCAACAACTTTTCTAAGGTAAATCATACCTCTACATTAAATCTCTTAGCTGGCTCCATAATATACAGACCAACAACTTCTCTAAGGTAAATCACACCTCTACATTAAATCTCTTAGCTGGCTCCACAATATACAGTCCTACAACTTCTCTAAGGTAAATCATACCTCTACATTAAATCTCTAAGCTGACAACAACTTCTCTAAAGTAATCCATACCTCTACATTAAATCTCTTAGCTGGCTCCACTATATACAGACCAAAAACTTCTCTAAGGTAAACCATACTTCTATATTAAATCTCTTAGCTGGCTCCATAATATACAGAGCAACAACTTCTCTAAAGTAAACCAAACCTCTACAGTAAATCTCTTTGCTCGCTCCATAATATACAGACCAACAACTTCTCTAAAGAAAATCTTACCTCTACATTCAATCTCTTAGCTTGCTCCATAATATATGCAGACCAACAACTTCTCTAAAGTAAACCATACCTCTACATTCAATCTCTTAGCTGGCTCCATAATATACAAACCAACAACTTCTCTAACTTAAACCATACCTCTACATTAAATCTCTGGGCTGGCTTTATAATATACAGACCAACAACTTCTCTAAGGTAAATCATACCTCTACATTAAATCTCTTAGCTGGCTCCATAATATATAGACCAACAACTTCTCTAAGGTAAATCATACCTCTACATTAAATCTCTTATCTGGCTTCATAATATACATACCAACAACTTCTCTAAAGTAAATCTTACCTGTACATTCAATCTCTTAGCTCGCTCAATAATATACAAACCAACAACTTCTCTAAGGTAAACCATACCTCTACATTAAATCTCTAAGCTGGCTCCACAATATGCAGACCATCAACTTCTCTAAGATAAATCATACCTCTACATTAAATCTCTTGACTGGCTTCATAATATACAGACCAACAACTTCTCTAAGTAAACCATACCTCTACAATAAATCTCTTAGCTGGCTCCATAATATACAGACCAACAACTTCTCTAAGGTAAATCATACCTCTACATTAAATCTCTTAGCTGGCTCCATAATATACAGACCAACAACTTCTCTAAGGTAAACCATAGCTCTACATTAAATCTCTTGACTGGCTCCACAATATACAAACCAACAACTTCTCTAAGGTAAATCAGACCTCTACATTTAATCTCTAAGCTGACAACAACTTCTCTAAGGTACACCATACCTCTACATTAAATCTCTTAGCTCTCTCCATAATATACAGACCAACAACTTCTCTAAAGTAAATCTTACCTCTACATTCAATCTCTTAGCTCGCTCCACAATATACAGACCAACAACTTCTCTAAGGTAAATCATACCTCTACATTAAATCTCTTGACTGGCTCCATAATATACAGACCAACAACTTCTCTAAAGTAAACCATACCTCTACATTCAATCTCTTAGCTGGCTCCATAATATACAAACCAACAACTTCTCTAACTTAAACCATACCTCTACATTAAATCTCTGGGCTGGCTTTATAATATACAGACCAACAACTTCTCTAAGGTAAATCATACCTCTACATTAAATCTCTTAGCTGGCTCCATAATATATAGACCAACAACTTCTCTAAGGTAAATCATACCTCTACATTAAATCTCTTATCTGGCTTCATAATATACATACCAACAACTTCTCTAAAGTAAATCTTACCTGTACATTCAATCTCTTAGCTCGCTCAATAATATACAAACCAACAACTTCTCTAAGGTAAACCATACCTCTACATTAAATCTCTAAGCTGGCTCCACAATATGCAGACCATCAACTTCTCTAAGATAAATCATACCTCTACATTAAATCTCTTGACTGGCTTCATAATATACAGACCAACAACTTCTCTAAGTAAACCATACCTCTACAATAAATCTCTTAGCTGGCTCCATAATATACAGACCAACAACTTCTCTAAGGTAAATCATACCTCTACATTAAATCTCTTAGCTGGCTCCATAATATACAGACCAACAACTTCTCTAAGGTAAACCATAGCTCTACATTAAATCTCTTGACTGGCTCCACAATATACAAACCAACAACTTCTCTAAGGTAAATCAGACCTCTACATTTAATCTCTAAGCTGACAACAACTTCTCTAAGGTACACCATACCTCTACATTAAATCTCTTAGCTCTCTCCATAATATACAGACCAACAACTTCTCTAAAATAAATCTTACCTCTACATTCAATCTCTTAGCTCGCTCCACAATATACAGACCAACAACTTCTCTAAGGTAAATCATACCTCTACATTAAATCTCTTGACTGGCTCCATAATATACAGACCAACAACTTCTCTAAAGTAAACCATACCTCTACATTAAATCTCTTAGCTGGCTCCATAATATACAGACCAACAACTTCTCTAAGGTAAATCATACCTCTACATTACATCTCTAAGCTGGCTCCACAATATACAGACCAACAACTTCTCCAAGGTAAATCATACCTCTACATTAAATCTCTTAGCTGGCTCCATAATATACAGACCAAAAACTTCTCTAAGATAAATCATACCTCTACATTAAATCTCTAAGCTGGCTCCATAATATACAGACCAACAACTTCTCCAAGGTTAGTCATGCCTCTACATTAAATCTCTTAGCTAGCTCCATAATATACAGACCAACAACTTCTCTAAGGTAAATCATATCTGGACATCCAATTACCTTTGAATTCAAAGAAACCTATTTGAACCCATTGAATGAATCCTTGAATTTGTTCTGCTGAAAAACTAAACCAAATTGTGATCTTGGCCAAATCTTTAGAATGGTATTTCTTAGAATACTCAATATTTGTTTTTACCTCATATGATCTAGGGTTAAATCTGAGCAATGATTTGCCCTAACAGTGCATTTGTATGTTATTGTGTGTTTTATGGAAAGAGAAATCTAGTATTTTATTTTCATTTTCAGGCCCATACCACTCTTTTAGAGTTGGGCAAAATGGAGCAAGGCTCTCTGGCAAAATAAAGGGTTAGATTTTATCGATGATAAATCATTTAATTGATATCTTTTAAGGTCAGACGAGATGTTCCTTAAAATCTGTTTTGTATATCTTCATAATGTATGAAAAATATTGAAATTTTATTAAAATTCTGATTTCTAAACCAGTGTCTAAACGTTTTTAAAAAATCCAAACACTTAAACATTTGAAATTGAAAAATTATTTTTCCTCTCCAAATGATTTTATAAGAAAAACTACCCCTGGTATCTTGCAGAAATGCCTGGTAAGGTACCTCAATTTTTTGTCAATGTTTTTGTGAATGTTTAACATGTTTAAGTAGCAATACTTCAATGACAAACTCTTAGAAAAATTTATCTATTTTAAGTAACGTCTCATCTGTCCTTAAGTCATTAATTAATGCTTGTTCTCCTTTAAAAATATTTTCCCCAACTCTCTAATAAGCAACAGTGTTCTTAAAATAAATTGAAAGGAAGATAGATTTGTCAATTCTAGAGGTTCTCATGTTTTTTTAACCTGTAGACAATGTAATCTAAAGTTTAATTTTCTTTTGCTAAGTGTATAGTTATATATAATTGTGTAGAAGATTGCTTAAGACAAATATTGTTTGATCTTATTTATTTTTACATGTAAATGTATATACATTATCAAATTTGTCAGTAGAATACCTCAGTTATATGTTTATGTTCCTGACTGAATAAGTAGCTGTACGTTTGTTTTCTAGACACTGTTAAGTCTGAGTAAATTAGCCGGACTAGCAGCTGACCCATATAATGGAGAAATAGACCATATAATGGAGAAATAGACAGCAATATACTAGGTATGCAATAAAGTGTATTTCATTCTGTAGAGGAAATTGAATTTTGTTTCTATTAACAAGTAGATGTATATCATGAATATCTAGACATTAAATTTATCACATGCACAGGGGGTTGATCAAAATATTGAATTCATAATAAAATGAGCCAGTAAGAATCTTTGATGTTGTCATGTTCTATTATAATAATAATATCAGGAAGAGTTCATTTGTAATTCTTTACCCAAGAAAGAATAACTGGTGTTAAAAAAACCTACAGTAAATTAAATATTAAAGACTAAAATTTTTCCAATTTACAAATCAACTAAGCAGGAAATTAGCTTTGTTGAAAATATTTTTGAATGTCAAAGACACTTACGTATTCTAACACAAAAAAAACCTTGTTTTCTTTGTTTGGTTTCCCTACTAACAGTGTGAAATGAAATACATGTCCAGGATTTCTGTACAAAATTAATGTATTTTCCTTGTTGTTTATAACAGACATCAATGAAGAACAAGAATTAATTGCCCATCAGCAGCAGTTACCTGCCCTTGTCATAGAGGTTAGTATTGTTTTGCTAATTTCATCCCTGTTCAACTTACATAAATTAATCATTGTAAAATCCAAAATATCAATAGGGCAAAAAAGAGATAAATATGTAATTTTGACAAAATAAAATTTCTTGTAGAATCTAGGAATGGAGCCAAACAATATGAGAGTTCTCTCCCCTGTACAGTTGATAGAGATATGTACCAGTAGGGACTGCCACCTTAATTTCTGTCTCTATTTATCATATGCCATGAATATCAGTATTGCCCAACATTTAGTATTCTCTTGCCATTAAATGCATGTATTGTTAATATTTCAATTCTGTTTTAGTTATACATCTCCGGAACAAACATTGATGCCACAGAATATGATTTCAAGAAAGCATTGGATCTCTTACAATACATAGACAAGGTAAATGTATACAATTATCAGTATAGATAATGAAGGTAATAAAATACATATATACATGTACATGTATAGGAATTTTAGCAATAAATAAACAACTGGGGTATTTTTACTTATTAAACAGAAACTTTTTGCCCTCTTAGAGGATTCAATTTTTTTAGAAGCACTTCAGAAAGATTTTGAAAACAGCTAGCTTCTTTTTCCAGTTTAAAGTATTTATAAATACCTCTTAAGATACTTATTTTTGAAGAACAGAGATATTCAAAGGTGAAGAAGAAAGGTATCTCTAATTTTTAATTGAAGTATTAAAATCCTAGAGTTTTCAGATTTTATTTTCTTTCAGACTGACCCATCAATAGACTATGAAAGTCTGAGGATGCACATTTGGGCCCAGTCTATTCTTAGAGACAGGTAAGGTCTCAGGTAGAAATAGAATTATGATACCTGTAAGGTAGTTAAGTTTCTTTGCTCCCTTTGCCTCAGAACATGGAGAAATTGAATGAAATTTCATGTCATCTTTGGTCTTCATTATCAAGACAATAAAATTTGTTATAAATGACAAATCTTCTTTGCAAAAATCATTTTTTATACTTAAAATAAACACGTACAGAAGTAAAGTAGGTAGATCTAGAATGACACATGTATTTTTTGAAGTCGTTAAGTTTCGCTCCACTTTGCTTGTTTAGTTCAGGGAGACATTGAGTGGAATTTCTGGTCTCCTTTGGTTTTCATTATCAATATAAAATTTATTATGAATGACAAATTTTCTTTGCATTAATTTATATTTTATATTTTAACAAAATACAATTAAAGAACAAAAATTGTATTTTTATTAACAGCTGGCAACAAGATGATTCTGCGGATGTTATGGAGACCAATATGAATACTGTGTTCTTCAAAACAGTGGACCTGGCTTACAAAGAAGGTAAGGTATTACATAGAAAATGTGCTAGTCTTGTAATTAATGATTGTTGTATATTTTTGTTAGATGTATATCAAAATGTTTATTTGTTGTATGCATCATTAAAATTTTTGGATTTGTGTTTTGATTTTTGAATTAAATAAAATCTTTTTGTACAAAAATACCTGGGTTTTGATAATTTGTTAACCTATTGAATTTAAAAAAAAAATAAAAAAAAAAAAAGAAAGAAAGACAAAAAGAATTGCAGAATTTCAGGGTAGTTACTCTAACTTCTTGTACGTTCAAAACAGATGTCAATAGTTTCATCTCTGGCGAACAACTGATGAATCTGATGTCATTCTTTTTTTATTCAGGAATGGATGTGAAGACATTTATGCCAGAATTAAGGGCAGTGTTAAACTGTGATGAACTTGGAGAACTTAAAGATAATGCTGGCTTTCAGTATTTGATACAAGCTGGATATGAACATATCGGACAAGTGTTATGATTTATATGAACATATTGGACAAGTGTTATGATTTATTTAAAGTCACAGATGAGTCTGCATTGGATACGAGTTCTTTTATGAACTTATTGAATATGAAGTGTTATGATCCATGTTAAGTTTACAGGGAATATAGTTAATGTGCAAAGTACGGAAAAGTAGTTCAGCAATAGTGCAATGTAAAGTAGAATTAAGGATTTGTTTTAATAAATGCTGTTTTTTCTTTCATACTGTATAGCAGGTTTCTTAAGCGGGTGCAAAATTTGACGGTTTATTTCTTGACAGAGTTCGTATATCCAAGTATTTTGCACCAAAAACATTTGTGTAAATATCAGTTTAAACATATAAGATAATAATACTTGAGAAGACTTCTTTAAGTATGATGACTATTTGTACTTTGTAAAACCTGCGAAACATTGTTGATTTTGAGTTTAATCTTTGAAGAGATTGTTTTTTTTATATGTAGCTTGCAAATAGATGTTCTTATAATTATTTCTTGACAAGTTTTTTTTGAATGAGGTAACTGAAAATTGCATCAAGACCCATTTTAATGGACAATTGTCATTATGATAAAAAGCATGTAGGTAGACGATGTAATTCATGTATACAAAAGCAGTTACTAGCCCCACCCTCTGCAATTTGATTGCAAGGCAGTTTGTCAAATCTGCTGCCTAACATCGTGTACAAGTTATTTAAGGAATCACTGTCTAGTTTCCATTTTTACTTGAAATAACCATCTTACAATAAATCGAAATACCATCTAATTGAGTAAATTTGAAATGCATAAGGCCCCATGACGTCAAATCTTACTATAAAAAATAGTCCCAAAAACACGAAACAAATTTATTGATTATTTATAGTTACCGTAGTCAAAAATCAACATTTATAAAATAAACAACGAAAAAATTTTAAATAATGATCAAAGTAATCTTGCTAACTTTAATTATATATGTGACCTAGATTTAGGTTGTGGGAAGCACGAACATATATAGGCACTATATATCACCATATTGAGTGCAATGTTGCAGTTTATGAAACGGGAGCTGGTCAGCATGGTCAGGAAACCGATTTGTATGGATGTTAAAATAACAGAAGTTGAGTTGCATAAGAAGTCGGATGGTAATGACTGAGGGACGATGTCTGTATCAGATGATGGAGTACCTGCAGATCCATGTGGCAATGTCAATTTCTCCACGTGGCTGTTACGGAAGTGGAGTTCTCGGACTCGCGAGGCCTCGGTGATAGTGGACAGCGTTGCGCTAGTGACTTGCTTTCAAGCCGAAGATAATTCATTATTTATTCTGTTTGTTAAAAAGATATATCATATCAAATTACTTTGTAAACAATTAAACAAAACATTTTTTTTCTGTAGTATATTTATACGTCAGTGATATACATGCAGGTTGACACCCGACCTTTCAGTAATAGAGAAATATACATACCACAGGGTATTACCATGAAATTAACAAGATTCACTTTTGTAGTGTTTATCATAGAGAAAACAATTGGAAATGGGAATATTAAGTGTTCAACCAATCAGCATACAGGAAGACGACCAATTAACAGGATTGGTGAAGGATAGTACAGAATCTTACTTAATGTGATTCATTTCTCATATTAACAAAATTTTTCTGATGAGTTCTAATATCTTACAAAATTTTGCTTAATACATTATTTAGTACATACTGTAAACGTATTACATTTGGCTGGGTATTCTTTTTAGCGTTTTTGGCGGAAAGTAATATCCGTTAATTCAAGTAAAACGGTAAATGTCTCGCACATTTTAGTATTTTGTGTGGATTTTATTTGATCATTACACAACCGTAGATTCAATTCAGGTATTTGATTTTTTTACATGACTGTTGCTATTTTGAACAACAAACATATTGTCACTTGTATCTATACACAGTCCCTAGGGTCTATTCAGTCATTGCAGATATTTAATTTTCTTCACTTGTCCGTTGTCATACTGAATAACAAACAGATTGTCATTTGTATCTGTACACAGTCCCCAGAGTCCACTTAATTCACACTCTATGTAACGGAGGAACTGTCCATCCTGGTCTATGATGTGGACACAGTGATTGTTAAAATCAGCCGTAAGGATGTGACTCTGACTGTCTGTGGTGATTCCTAGTGGAGTAAATTGGCTGTTGTTTGGAGCAGGAGTATGTCCAGTGTACCTGAATCTCAGTTTTCCGGCCTGATTGACCACCACTACTGCTCTAGCTAGACAGTCAGACACACAGATATCCAGGTTCCTGTTCTCAATCATGTATATGTATCCATAATAATCATAACTAAATGAATAGAGAGGTTTACCTTTATCATCAAACTGAATTGTTTGTTTCTCTGTGGAGCCAGAGTAACGGACAACTTTTGTTTCTGTTTTTGTCTCGTCATCTCTATACATGATAATCAGCAGGTCACCAGAGGAGGTACTACAGACACGAATAGGTTCCCAGTTCTTTAGTCTGATCACCTCCTCTATCTTCTCATTCTTCGCAACGTCCACAGTTCTGTCCCTTCCGTCAATATACACTAGATCTCCACTTTTTGTCACTGCTATGTCCTGTGGTATGTTCCCTGACCTGGTTGTGATTGACTTGAGTAGTGATCCCTGGTTGATGCTGTAGAGTTTCATGGTGCTATCATATCCCTTTGTCCAGATTTCTTTATCACTCACACAGGCCATACTATAAATTTGATTATACTCAGTATCTATGGTGGTGACAATCTCTGGTTTATCAAGCAGCTGTTTGACTCGAGGAGAGGAGCCAGCTTCTAGTGATTTTTCTGTTGTCTTCATGCTGTAGCCATGTTTATCTAAAGTTAAAGAACTTGATGATAAGGTTCCGAACAGTTTACCAAGTTTTTCTCCTTGAATTTTTCCTGGAGTAAATTTGGGTAAAGATGGTGCAAATTTTTGTGGAAGAATTCTGTATATATTTACATTTGATGTGAAATCAAATAGTTTTGACAAGTCATATGTGTCTATATCCATTTCAACTAGGTTGATTTCATCCTTGATGTCAGACATTGCCTTGTTTATTTCATCCAGATGTTTCTGTAGAGTTTGTAGCTGTGTGTTTTTTATCTCATCAACTTCAGCTTTAAGTTTCTGGACAAGTTTGTCAATTTCTCTGTGCCAGTCCTCTCCATGTTTTGTTATGGCTGTTGAGAGATCTCCATATTCCGTTTCCAACTGACTCATTCTGTTTTGTACATCAGAGGCAATGTCCTGATAGGTTGGATAAATTGTTTCCTTTAATTCAGTTTGTTGTTTCGTGATTTTGTCTTTTTTCTCGTCTAAAGCCTGCATTATTTCTAATAGTTTATGACCCAGATGTTGATCAGATGCAAGGCACTTTGTACAAACAGGAATATCACATTTTTTACAGAACATTGTACTTTGTTGTTTATTGTGAGATTTACATTCTGGGTATCGGGGGGTTGATTTCCTGGACTGAAATTTAACAATTTCATGTTTCTTGGATTCATCAGATATCATGTGTTCTCCCACACAGGCCTTACACAGGTTGACAAGGCATGTATCACAGTGCATTTCTACCACAGCGGTCTCACACAGGTCACATCGCATCACGTCCTGGGTACTGGTACGGGGGTCCATGGTTAAACTTTTGATTCTGAAGTATAGAGTCAATTAGGCTTTAAGGTAGAGATAAAGTACGTATAATATTGAAAAATGAATTAATCTTTCATCGATTTGAGATATGTTGGAGGAAAATTTTGCTGGATTTCCAACAATGATTGTTGTTTTTTTTTCAATCACCAATAGTAAAATTTAAAATTATTGCAACTGAAAGTAATCATGCCTTGGACATACACACCTGTGCCTAATTCCAAACTTATTCAATTTATTGTTATTTGGGTCAATATATCAAGTAAAATATCAGAATTGTAAATGAATATAAATATAATGTGATATAAAACTTCAATGGTTGTAGACGTGTTAAATTATGTTTGTATGAATTCAGACCCCCGTATCATGAAATATCCTAATGATATCTGCAAAGTTTAAGATTGATTCAATAAGTAATATTTTACATTTTACAGGAGATTGAAAATTTGACTCATTATAACTCATAAGACCCGGTCTTATTAACAACCACATTAAACTCTGAGTAGAATCAGTCATTCTTTATTCACTGATCTTAATTCTAGGTATCGCTTAATTTCTCGCTCCAATTTCTGAAAGCTAAATTATATCGATGGTAAATCTAGTGCATTTACTGTTATAAAAAATAATCAAAATGTTAAATTTAATGTGTAAACATTACCTGGCGTTTAAGACTGTAATGGTTGCCAATAATGGAGGTGTTGTTATGAGTTCTTATCACATGACCTGTTTCCCTGTGTTACCTAACTGTTTTTAATATTGATTTCCTGGTCTGTGTGCAGTAGAAATTTAAATATAAGCTCTCAGTTCTGCTATCATATGTTTGTTTACTACAGCTAACTGCAAACATTTTGATATTTAAAGCACACTATAAATATTACGAAACTTTTACAGCATGGTTAAATATTAAAAGATTACAGAATTCAAAACAGCTCAATGAAAGATCAGTAAATCTACCACCCCACCAGATTAACATCCCCCAAAAATATATTTTTAAAATTATGCATAGTTTTATAAATTTTGCGAGGTCAAGTTTTAACAATTTAATAATTGAAGAACATCAATACTAAGAAGTCACTTTAGTCACTCAAAATCTTTATCTATTTTTAAAAAAAATGAATGTGATGTTGAGTACATGTATGAAAATCAAACACTTGAAATGTATATTTAGTACATTTCTCAACAGAAACATGTAGGACTTCTGCATAAAGCAGGACATTAAATTTCTTAGCTGGCTTCATAATATACAGACCAACAACTTCTCTAAGGTGAATCATAACTCTACATTAAATCTCTGAGCTGACTCCATAATATACAGACCAACAACTTCTCTAAGGTAAACCATACCTCAACATTAAATCTCTTAGCTGGCTCCATAATATACAGACCAACAACTTCTCTAAGGTAAATCATTTGTAAACATCCAATTACCTTTGAATTCAAAGAAACCCATTTGAATCCATTTAATTAATACTCGAATTTGACCTGCTTAAAAACATAAACAAATTGTAACCTTTGCCAAATCTTTAGATAGGTTGGTTTTTCAGCAGATTTTACGGAGTATCCAATATTTGTTTTTACCTCATATGACCTAGGGGATAAATCTTAGCAATGTTTTGCCATAACAGTGCATCAGTATGTCATTGTGTGTTTATGGAAAGTTTGATTTAGTATTTTACTTTCAGGCCCACAGCACTCTTTTAGATTTGGGCAAAATGGAGCAGGGCTCTCTGGCAAAGAAAAAGGTAAGGTTGTGTTTATAATAAATCATTTCATTGATATCTTATAACTCATTAAAACTTGTTCTCTTTTGAAAAAAGGAAATGTTTTCCCCACCTCTTCAATAAACAACAGTGTGCTTATAATAAACAATGATAATAAATAATGAAAGGACGATAGACGTCATTTGTAGATGCTATCATGTTCATTAACTTGTAGACAATGTAAACTAACGTTTAATTTTCTTTTGGACAGGTAAATGTATAATTATATGTGTATGTATTGTGTAGAAGATTGCTTAAGATGAATATTGTTTGATTTTTTTTTTTTACATTTACATGTATATACATTATCCAATTTGTCAATAGAACACCTCAGTTATATGTTTATGTTCCTGACTGACTGAGTAGCCGTACGTTTTGTTTTGTAGACACTGTTAAGTCTGAGTAAATTGGCCGGACTAGCAGCTGACCCAGATAATGGAGAAATAGACAGCAACATACTAGGTTCGTATTTTAAATTAAGTGTAGTAGACATTATTTTTACCACATGGGTTCAGTAAAGCATTGAATTCAGAAAATAAACCTTTAAGAATCTTTGATGAAGTCATATGCTCTATCTTTAGGTCACCTGAGTAAACTCAGGTGACCTATTGCTATCCGTTTTCGTCCGTCATCGTCCGTCGTGCATCGTGTGTCATGTGTTAACATTTGAACATTTCAGCTTCTTCTCTGCAACCACTGAACCAATTTCAACCAAATTTGACAGAAAGCATCTATGGGTGAAGGGGAACAAAAATTGTGAATTTCATGATCCCTGCCCCCCTGGGGCCTGAGAGGTGGGGCCAAAACCACTAAAATTAATGCAATCTTTAAAAATCTTCTTCTTTACTCCTGGACATCAAGCAGTCAAACTATTTGCATGATTGTAATCAGCATTGAGTCCTCTACCAAAATTGTGAAATTCATGGCCCTGGGGTCAGGGGTTCTAGTGCTAGTGCGGAGCTAACTAAGTATATAGTGAAAATGCATTATTTCTTTGAAAATCTTTTCTCTGACCCTGGGTATTATACAGACCCTAAAACGTGCTACTACACCTCAGAAACGAACCGTACCGTTCCGTGCAGAAAGCGTACCGTACCGTGAACAAAGCGTACCGTTCCGTGCACAAAGCGAACCGTTCCGTTCACAAAGCGTACCGTTCCGTGCACAAAGCGAACCGTTCCGTGCACAAAGCGTACCGTACCGTTCTCAAAGCGAACCGTTCCGTTCACAAAGCGTACCGTACCGTCCACAAAGCGTACCGTTCCGTGCAAGAAACGAACCGTACCGTTCTTTGGTTAATTATGCAAACCACGCCCCAAATGATTTTTGAATCGTGTAATGACCAAATAAGGCATTTTGGTTTATTTCGCGCTACAGCGCCTGTGAAAGGAGGACGGAGGTTGTGTCTGCCTGTTCGAAACACCATTATCTTGTATCATGCGTCTGGGTCTTAAACTGTAAAAATAAGGAAACTACTCGAACCAAACTACAACTTTAAAACAATCAGACAGAGTTTGAGACGATTCTTATTTGCTATAAATTAGATCAACTGGTTGTGTTTGTGGTCAAAGGTACAGTACAGGCCACGAGTTTTTCCCGCAAAACACGTACGGGGCACAGTGGACCTCGAATAATGTCGGCGTCTTTGAAGTCTTTTATTTTCTTTA